AAATTTCTGGAGAAAATACCTGACATTGTAGTTGTCTTTCTGATCTCCTCCTCAACCCACCCCCCACCTCTTATTAGCCTATGGAATGTTTCTAAGTTGTAAGGGGCCTGCAGCTACTACTGGCCTCCTGTGTGTCCTCACAGCTGCTCAAAGGACAAAAGACGGGTCTTTTTCAGTTGATGCTCCAGACTCGAAAGTTCCTCTCTCCTAAAACATTTCCAAGAAAACATGCTGTTGTTCTCTTGGTTTCATTTGCTGAACGTGATACAGGGCCATAGTGTTTGGCTTGGAAGTTTCTGGTCTTGTGACAGGAATAAAGGAGTCCAGTGTACTATTCAGGCAAAAGCATACCCATTAGATGTCTGTGATTTCTCTTGTCCGGTCTGCTAGTTACAGGTCATAGCAATAGTTTTAGGAAAATAAGATTTCCCATTTGAAATGTTTGACTGACAACCACCATTTTGCAAATGAAATAGATGTGTAATGGGTGTAACAGGGCTGAGTAATCTTCCTATTTTGCTAGGGCCTAAGGAGCTTTTAGGTATGTAGGACTTTTGAAAATAGATTTGTCTGCAGCGAACAGAGAGATGTTCACCAACTTACCAGCGTTAAGCAATGCACTCAATTCTGAAAGAACTTAAGAAACAATATTATTTCCCCATTTTCCAGGGTCAGGAACTGAATCTAGCAGGCATTGCTTATTATAGCCCATGGGTGGCAAAGCAAGGTGCTCAATCCAGTTATCTGTGGTCCCAGAGCTGTGCTCGAAGCATTTATTTCCTGCAAGTTTGTGATGACAATTCAGGCTTGATGACTAGCCTTGGACTAGTCATTTAGCCTGCCTCTCATATCAGTGTGCCTGTGCTCTAGTGTGTGTGTGTTTTAAAATAGTTATTTATTTATGTATTTGAAAGGCAGGGTTACACACACACACACAAAGAGAGAGAGAGAGAGAGAGAGAGAGAGAGATCGATCTTCCATTCACTGGATAACTCCCATAAAAGGCCACAATAGAGCTGGGTCAGAATCTTTGAGCTAGGAGCTTTTTCCAGGCGTCACACATGAGCAGGGAGCCTGATCAGAAGTGGGACAGCTGGGACTTGAACCAGCGCCCAAATGGTGTGCCAGTGCTGCAGGCAGCTTTACCTGCTGCACCACAAGCACTGGCCCCCCTATGTTCAATTCTTGGTTTGGGCTCCTAACTCCAACTTCCTGTCAATGCAGATCCCAGGAGTCACATGGGAGACCAGCTGTTGTCTTTGGTCTGTTTTAGCTGTTTGGGGAATGAACCTATAGAAGACAGTGCTGTCTTGTATGTTCTCTCTCACTCCCTTTTCCTGTCCCTCCCTCCCTCTTCCCTCTCCGTCCCTCAAATAGTAAACAAAATTTAAAAGTTTTCCCATTGTAAGTACAGTTACAATCACAGTCATTTTGAGGTTCTTCTAAGAATGGCTCTTTTGTAACTTTTGACTTGGGCTCAGAAATGAAGAATTACTGAACTACTGGATTTTTACTTAGATTTTCTTCTTTTGAGCCTGGAAATGCAGGCAGGACTAGTGAGCAACGCATTTTCTGTGGGTAAACTTTAATAACCTTTTGTGAAATCTTGCCAATAACCTCTTCTAAAGAAAAACACTTTCAGAGTTCAGAAAGTTTACATTTCCATTCTGGAAAACTCTCACTTCCCACGAGTTTGAAAGAAATGCTGCCATTCAACTTGGCTCGTTTCAAAAACAGCCTCTGTGTCTGTATTCCATGTCCCAGTTTCCACAGCTTTTCTGTAATAACACCAGAATTGGAAATCAGATGGGGTTGATCTAATCAGTGCACATTTCTTTAGGATAGAATTGTTGCCTTTCTCTTTGCTGTGTGTATTTGTATATTTGTGTGTGTGTGTGTGTGTGTGTGTGTGTGTGTGTAACAGGAGGAGTTACAGGTAAATACCAAGAGGTGTTCAATTTGTCAATTGCTTTGTCATTTTGTGAGTTCTCTGCTTTTGGGCAAAAATAAACCCACACAAATTTCTGCTCACTCTGATGTTGGTTCAGGCTCTGAGAACCTAACAGAACAACTGAACCCTAGTTACTGTGCACGACCAGTTGTCAGAGTAAGAGGATGTTGTCCTAAGGCTCTGAGGTTGCTCACTCATTTATTCAACCAAAGTTAAATTCAGAGCTTCCTGTCTCTGAAAACTGTGCTGGGCACTGGGAGCATAAAAGGAAAGGAACGGATATGGCTAAACACAGAGAAATGAAATTGTTCTTGGGATCAGCCTGGTGGCTTAACAGGCGACTCCTCCACCCGCTAGCCTCAGCATCCCATGTGGGTGCTGGTTCTAGTTCTGGCTGCTCCACTTCAAGTCCAGCTCCCTGCTTATGACCTGGGAAAGCAGAAAAGGATGGCTCAAGTTCTTGGGTCCCTGCACCCACATAGGAGATCCAGCGGAAATTCCTGGCTCTAGACCTTTTAGAGGAGTTGGAGCTTAACTTCTTTGGCATTCTAATGTGTGGGAGTGTGCTGGGTGCAGTCAGATGAGGCCAACTCCCAGGAGGACAATGCTGTAAGTAGCCAGCTGACAGCACTGCCAGCAGCTTGGGACAGAGGGGCGGGGGAGGACAAATGCACAGCCACATAAAGGCAAATTGGAGACTGGCAACACCAGTGGCTGCTCCAGTACTTGGCATTGTTAAATGTTGACTTGTTAGAAACCTACATATCACTTGCTAGGAAAGATAGCCAGTGGAACAAAGAGTCCACCATTTCTCTGGATGCAGTACAGATGATACAGTTGGCTTGGGTGCGGGGCCGTGTTGCATGAAACACATGCATCTATTGGCACTGGACTCACACCCGGCGCAGGGAGCTGCTCATACCCGGTGAGAGACTCCCACAGACCCAGAGACTGTGTTTTCTAGGAAGCAGCTCTTGGGATATCATTAAACAGGATGTCCATTAAGAAGTACACTTGAGGGCCCGGCGCGGTGGCACAGTGGTTAAGGTCCTCGCCTTGCACACCCGGGATCCCATATGGGCGCCTATTCTAATCCTGGCAGCCCCGCTTCCCATCCAGCTCCCTGCCTGTGGCCTGGGAAAGCAGTCGAGGACGGCCCAAAGCTTTGGGACCCTGCACCCGCGTGGGAGACCTGGAAGAGGCTCCTGGCTTCGGATCGGCATAGCATCGGCCGTTGCAGCTCACTTGGGGAGTGAATCATCGGACGGAAGATCTTCCTCTCTCTCTCTCCTCTCTGTATATCCGCCTTTCCAATAAAAAATAATAAAAAAAAAAAAAAGAAAAGAAAAAAAGAAGTACACTTGAGGTGCACACATGGGGAAGGGAGAGAAGGAGGCAGGGGTGGCCTGAGGGAGAAGCAGATATCCACAATGCAGGATGATAGTAGCCTCTGCTCACTGTGCCCTGGGGAGTACCTTAGAACTAAATGAGTCACCAAGGCAGAGCATGCTTTGGTCCCAAATAGCCAGCCCTTTCCACTCCTCCATTCACTCCAACGTGGAGTCCCCTAGAAAGGGCACAACTTGGAGTGAGGTGACTCACTGCAGGTGAAGTCACTGCTACAGGGACTTGTAAAGTCTGTTTGCAGACATGCTCCCTGCAGACAGGCTGTAGGTCTTTCCTGGAACAAGACCTGGGCAGCACATCGCTGTTCCCACTCGCTGGCAGAAACTCCCCCCATGCTTGTTGTAAGCATGGAGGCTGAGGTGCAACAGCCCCAACCCAATAGCTAAAGTTACTTTCTCTTTGGGGATATTGGATGGGGTACTAGGTATGTTTTGCCGGAGCATCTATATTTTAGATGGTGCTTTAGAATTTCATCTTAATACTGGACTTTTTCATTGGCCTTATCCTTATCTTGAATTTGTACTTTAAATTTTTCTTATTGCTGTTTATTAGAAACACAAAAAAAGGAGAGAGAGATCTGAATGGCCACAGGAACGAGGACTGGACTGGTCCAAAGTTAGAAGCTCTTAACTCCATCCAGGTTTCCCATTGGTTTTCAGAGACTTAAGTATTGAGCCAATCCCGCTGCCTTCCAGGGTGAGTACCAGCAAGAAGCTGCAATTGAGAGTGGAGTCAGAACTCAAAGCCAGGCATCTGGTATAGGGCCCAGGTGCCCTAAGCAATTAACGACTGTGCCAAAATTCCACATACACACACCCTTTTTTTAAAAAGATTTATGTATTTTTAGTTGAAAGGGAGATTTTACAGAGGGAGGAGAGACAGAGAGAGGTTTTCCATCTGCTGGCTCATTCCCCAAATGGCTGTAACAGCCAGAGCTGGGCCAGTCCAAAGGCAGGAGCCAGGAGCTTCTTATGGGTCTCCCACATGGGTGCAGGGGCCCAAAGACTTGAGCTGCACTACTTTCCCAGTCCATAAACAGAGAGCTGGATTGAAAGTGAAGCAGCTGGGACTTGAACCATCCCTATATAAGATGCTGGTCAGCCTGATATGCCATCACACTGGCCCCCATCTATCACACTTTTAAAGCTCTAATTTTTTTCTTATTTGTATTTGGTGACAAATATCATGCTAAGTATCTTATATTCGTTACCTTCTTTGTTACTCACAAAAACTTTATCTGGTAGGTAATATTGTGTTCCCCATTTTGTAGGTTAGGAAACTAAAGGTTAGAGTAGCTAGAAAAAACTTACTCATGGAGAAATTAAGTTTGAACCCAAGTCTGTCTGACTCCAAAGCTCAACTACTTACCCACTCTGTTATAGGCCCATTGTGAAGGTTTTCCTGTTGCTCTTTGATCTTTGCTAACTCATTCCACGAGGTTTTCCCAAACATGTCTTCTGCCTGCCCAGCTGGGTTGGTACCGAGGCTCCAACAGGAAAACCTCTGCAGTGCTGATGTGCATGTCTTCTGTGTCTCCCTTTTCGTGTGTGTTTGTGTGTAAGAATCTCAAGGAATAAATGCAAATTCAAAGGCTCTGGATGGTTTCAAGTCACTCAATTCAGTGTTTTAAACTTTTGAACAGGCTAAACGAGATACTAAACGAATGTCTGCAAAAGAAGTCACCATCAACGTTACAGACAGCATCCGGCAGGTGGACAGGAGTAAAAGAATCACAAAGAACTGCGTCAACTAGCCAAACATCCAAACTCAAGCGTGGATGGACTTCTTGGGTGACCTTTGTGATGCTGGTGTCTGTCCAAGAGACTGGAAGAAGTGGGGGCCACTTGCTGACATAAAGGCCTTGTGAGACTGACGGACCCCACAGCAAGCGCCTGACTGAGCCCCTTGTTAAGCACATGATCACGTTGGCAGTCCTCACCTTTGTTAATAAATGGTAAATGTGCCATTCAGTGTGCCTCTTTACGACTCCTGTTGCTGGGAGTGGTATAATGTGGTGCGCTGGAGTCCAAGTTTGTGAAACAGGAAAGCAGTGGATCTCTCGGATGACAGAGTTGCCCATTGTTACCAAGATCTTTTTGGCTGTGGGAGTGCATAGTTTCAGGCAAGCTTACCCCTTATCCTTTTGTTCCTTCTTGTTCAGAGTCACCGTCACAAAACATTACCATGTTCACCTAAAAGCTGGCTTTCCTCCAACTATACACCCAGATTGATGGGAAATAAGGAAACAGGACAACTCCCCACTACTCTTCATTTCCTTAGCTCGAAATCAGACAGATCAGGCCCCACATCTCACACCCTGACTCTACCAAGCAAGGCCCATGTGGTGTCCTTGAGAATTCTCTGTGATGCTGTCACACCTGTTCCTCTGATGGCACCAACCCATTCTATCAGTTGGTGGCATCATGTCGTGTAAGGTGACTGTCCATCTGACCTGGGGCACCCCTCAGGGCTTAGCCAGACATTGCATATCTCCTAGCTCCCTTGTTCTCTTTGCTTGTCTTCTTAGTAGTTTCTCCAGTAGTTTTTCCAGTTGAGGGTCACTTGGAATTATTCATCCAGCACAGGATGCTGCTCACAAGAGCTAGTCTAGGAACCTGTGGCAGCACACAAATCTTGTCTTCTGGCCCAGGACTATGGTGTTTTGGTATTTGCAAAGGAACTACTTTAGAGAGCTAATGCCTGGTTGATGTGTATTCACACTGACATTAGACTGATGTACACTGTGTAGTTGACACAGCAAAGTGATGCTTTGGTAGAGGTAACTGTCTAGAATTTCTTTAAGTATGTTCAGTTGGAAGTATTTTCTTCCATAGTAAAGTAGCATGACTATTCAAGAATTGTTAACAACATCTGGGACTGGGAAAGATAGGACTAAAGTTGCACCAGATTCCAACTTTGGTGTGTGTTACATTAGAGTCCTGAAAACTGACCTCAGTAGGCTAAAGTCTTCATTTTGCATGCACTAAGATCCCATGTGGATGCTGGTTCGTGCTCCAGCTGCCCCACTTCCCACCCAGCTCCCTGCTTGTGGCCTGGGAGAGTAGTAGAGGACAGCCCAAAGCCTCGGGGTCCTGTACTAGCATGGGAGACAGGGAAGAAGCTCCTGGCTCCTGGCTTTGGATCGGCTCAGCTCCAGCCATTGTGGCTGCTTGGGGAGTAAATCAGTGGATGGAGGATCTTTCTGTCTCTCCTCTCTCTAGGTCTAACTTCCAATAAAAATAAATAAATATCTTTTTTTTTTTTTTTTTTAGAAAATTCAGTTACTCAATCCTGTATCTGCTAACTCTGCTATTCCTCAAACACAAGAGGGTAGTATCTTCTTTCCTCCCTGCTCCCACCCTCCCTTCCTCCTACTTTCCTTCCTTTGCTCCTCCCTCTTTTCCTTTGAATCATTCTTTACTGTTGTCCCAAGTCTTCCTTCCTTCCTTTTTCCCCTCCCTCCTTCCTTCCTTCCCTCCTGCCTTCCTTCTGTTAATGGATTGTATACTTAATTCATTACATATTCAGTGCTAAGCCTATGCCAGTTAATGTACATATACTGAGTGAGTTGTGCTCTGGCTTGTCATGACCATATATTCTGAATCTACCAGTGGGCTTAACAAGAGGCTACTGACATAGACACCAAGATGCAATGTGTGTTGTGAATTACTCTGCAGTAGTGTCTGACTTTCATATGAAGGGCAGGTGTGTACTAAATGGCAGATCTGGGTGTTCTTATCATCTTTGTACAAGCCTTCACCATACCCGCAACCACAGTTTTCCTGATTATCCATTGCTTTGCTTCCTTGAGAAAGGGCTTTTAAGGACTTAACATTCTAAAACAATTTGTAACTCTCATTCTTTTCAAGCAAAAGCTGTGACTCCTAAGTCCTAATGGCATTATTCAGCAGGAGTCCCCAACTCTAAAGGTTGGCAATGGTCCTGCCAGTTCAAGGGCTTGTTCTCCCAAGGCATATATGTGTTTTGCTCTGTGTAAAGCATTCTTTCACCAGTCAGTGTTCTGTGAGCCATGGGCTAAGCCGAGCTTCTCCTTAACACTTTGTTTTCACCTTGCTTTCCTGCTGCATATTATTTGGAATTTACCAGCTTGAGAAGGTGCCTCTGCTGATCCAGAAACAGCTTTCTCACCTCCAGGGAGATGGTAATGAAAGACATTTGAAGAAGCTGTCCCCAAAATTATCTTGATCTATCTGAGATAGTGACCAGGGGTTAAATTGTGTTACTAGAAATTCATCTGGCAATTTCTTCATGTGTGTATGAGACAGGCATGGATTCTTGTTATTCTATTAGGAAAATCTTTTCCATTGCAAAGTTTGTGTCAATAAAATTGTTAATTTCAAACATACGGGTGGTTACAGAAAGTCTTTACTGGAGCCCTGCATTTGTGTGTAGAGCTGTTTAGACTTTATTATTATTATTATTTTAGCAAAAAGAATAAATAAAAAAGTGATCCCTGTCACTCTTTCAAAAAAGCCTATGGAGTAAGTAAGGAGAATGCTGTTGGCCCCACTATGCAGGTAACAGGTCGTTGAACTGGTGAGTGATGGTCCACTAATTTCAAGTCTGCTCGTGAATCCAGGACTTTTTGCATCATAGTATGGTGCCTTCCACAAGAGACCCTAACATGATTGGAAGACTCAGTGACTTGGGAAGGATTTGCCACCAAGCCTGAAACTGGGCTCAGTGCAAGCCAAACACAGTGATTTAGGTGATTGGGAAGAGCTGGTGATTGGGTCCGGCCCAGGATTGCTTGTGCTTCCAGAGGGTTGCCTGGCATGAGTGGGAGGGCATACTTGATGAGGGTCACAATTAGAGGAGATGGAAATTGTATTCCTTGGAGGGAAGCCTCAGACATCCTCATTAGTGCCAGGGCCCCACTGCTGGTCACAGGTGGATTGTTCTGCCTCCCCCACTGCCCACATTCACACCCCACTTCCACTTCCCAGGCTACCTGAACACATTCCTGAATCCAGATAACAGGCATGCTTTGTCGTGGTGTAAATATTTGGAATTTCAAATGGAAAGCCAGCTCTAACAGAGGACCCCTCATTTAGAACTTGGTTTCTTCTAAAGCTAGGTGCATATCCATTAAGAATAAAAAGTGTATTGCCCAGCCTCCCTTGTAGCTATGACTAGCTAAGGACTAAGTTCTGGCCAAAGAAATGAAATAGAAGTGATACCTGGAAGCTTCCTGGAAGGCTCTTTGTAAGACAGTAGTCTGGATCTTTCTTTTTGTTGTCTTCGCTCCTCTGAATGAGGAGGAAACAGCTGGAGCGACATTAGTCCATTGATCCATGAATTAACTTGGCAATGGTAGCTACATTGATCAGCTGATACCTGAGTGAGGCTTCTTGGGAAGGGAAAGGTTTATTTCAGTTTGTAATTTGGGGGTTCAAAGTTTAACATCAGACAGCCCCAGTAGTCTAGCTGGTAGAGGCTAACCATGAAGGGAATGTGCTGAGGAAATCACAGAAGCCCAGAGAGACCCTGAGAGACATTAAGAAGTACAGCAAGTTTGTTTCACCAACCTGCTGAGAACTGCCTTCTGAGGATAAGCCCCAGGCCCACTGCTGGGTGCCATGATTACACCGAGACTCCGTGCTACTTCATCAACTGTTAACATAACAGGACTCAAATTCCTGCAGGAGTTTGGGAAGCCAGATCTTGTTCCATTCATACCAGACATCATGCCAGTTAAACCACAAATTAGAAGGAGCCTGGGTCCCTAATCCCACTGAGCATCTGTGAACCTAGATTGTGTCCCTACCAAGACCTCCTTTAATAATCCTATTTCATTTAGAATGTTTCAAATGATTACCGTCGAACATAACTGTCATTGATATACAAACTTCCCATCTTCTTCTTAGAAGATTTCTAGCTCTTCTGTCCTCATTGCTACTTGGCCATAGTCAGCTGGAGCAGGTTAATCTGTTTGGCTGGAGCAGGGTCTACACATTGTGATAGTGCCTACCACTCATTGTGGCTTACATATAGTCACAAGCTCATTTTTGTCACTCACCCAAGCCTGAGAGATTTGAGTTTGCAGCCCCTGCTCTCAACTGTGTCCCCGGGTAACTCATTTTCATTTTCTTCTTAGGAATCATCAAAACGATGTCCTTTCACGCCAGCCTACCTGTCTTAGAAGTAGCCCATCTCAAGAGAAGTTTCTGAGCAGGCAAATGACAAACATGACCCAATATTTAAAAACATTAATTCACCCACTCTTTCCTTTATTCCAGACATATTTACTGAGAAGCTTCCATGTGCCAGGAGTTGGGAATGAATCAGACTTGGCCTTGTCTGTATGGAGTTGGTGTGCTAGTAGGAGAGGTAGCAGCAACATAAAGAAATCACAGTGACTTCAGATAGTGAAGAATGCTGGAAAGCCTGTTAGCAGAAGGGTCAGGAGGGAGACAGGTTCAGAAGGAGGACAGAACTTTAGAGTCTACACCTCTTGCCCAGACGAGAGATGCCTGTGATGGGCCGTGTAAAGACGAGTCCAAGTGTGTGGCTGCTAAGCACATTCTGAAAGTGGAAACACTAGGGTTTTGGAAGTGAAGACAATGTGAAATCAGGAGAATTCTTAAGTTTTTGGTTTTTGTTTGGTTCTTGGGAAGACAGGGTAAGACATTGCAGGGATGGATGTATATATTAGTTCTTTCTCCCCATCTTCCTGTTTTTCCTCTGCTTCATTTCCCCCTCCTCTTTGGAAGGCTGAGAGATAAAGCTCACATCTGCTGATTTCCCCTGCAAATGTCCGCAAAGGCTAAACCTGGAGACAAAGCTAGAAATAGCTTCTGGGTCTCCCATGAGTGACAGGAACCCAATTACTTGAGTCATCACCATCTCCTCCCAAGGTCTTCATGGGCGGGAAGCTGCAATCAGGAGCCTGAGCCTAGAATCAAACCTACGTGCTCTGATGTGGGATGTGGCATCTTCACCACTAGGT